AATGTCTTGAGTGTCTAGATATGACGAGACGTCTCGAAATTTTTAAAAGATTCAGAAAACAATCTGTACAAAAAAAACACCAAAGAGTTGTTGTTGTCGAGGTAATAAATACGAAAGTCTGTTAGAGCGTTAGTTTGCAAGTCAATTTACCACTGTAAATTTTGAAATTGTATTTCAACAAATAAGATAGTTTGCAAGTAAGTGACCGTTTAGTTTTATTTGTGAGTTAGGACATATCTTGTAAAACTTTTAAATTACAGTCGAAGAAGTGAATCATTTTTACAATCATTAAGTGGATTGAACTTTGCATTGTTTTTACTGAATAATAAAGAAGAACCCGTTATTTTGTTTTGAATTTCGCTAGTCATCCTTAATTTAGCAGTGATAGATTAGAGGGAAGGCAGCTAGTCAACACCATCCACCGCCAACTCTTGGGTTACTCTTTTACTAATGAATAGTGGGAGTGATCGTCACATTATGACGTCCCAACGGCTGAAAGGGCAAACATTATTACGAGTCGAGCACTTTAACCACAAGGCGATGATGGTAGAAACTGTTACAACATATTTCATTGTTAACACATTAAGAACTCTGGTGTGCATAAAAACAACATTTCAGACTTATCTTTTGTTCACGCCATCTCATAGAGCCTTTTACACAATAAGTCTATCAGTTTGCAGGAATCATAGCATATTAAATTTAAATATGTTATTTATCTAATTATATAATGCTTCTGCAAAATTTACACACACGACAAAGAAAAAAATTAATATTGTCGTGTTAAACGTTTAAGCTGAAGAAGCAAGATTTTGATTTAACAAATCCGTTCAAAATACTATTTGTTAAGACTTAACACTATTTTTTTTACTTCGAATGATTAGACTTATTTTTCTGTGATGATAATGTTTGCTGAGCTTCGAGGTTCACTGAGGCTGTAAATCAGCAATCCAGTTGAAAATGCCCACGCACTAATTAAATCTACTCACAGTAAATTAATTTATTTCATTCAGAATTTAATCCAGGCTAGAACAGAGATCCAGTTTGATCACACTTGAAATAAACTGTCAAGAATAACTTCACATCAACAGAGGTACAAAATCTTAAAATTAAACGTAGCAATAAAAAAGTAAATGTAAAGCACTGATTCTTCAAAATGAAAATTTTAAAGGAAATCAAGCGGGTAAATACAATGAAAACTTTGAGGCATCAGATGGTTCGATATTGAGTAGGCAGAGAAAGTTTTGACTATCTAATGGAATTTTTTAAAGTGGTAAAGATTTGCTGGTTCATTAGAGCATAGTGTGTTCTAATTCTATGGAGGAATAACCTGTATCTTTAAGGACATAGCTTGTGGTTTTCTAAACAGTCTTATAACTTTTATCAGAAAGAAAAGTCATGAATATTTACTTAGAAAAAGGTAAAACTCAATTCGCCAATTCCAAGGTAAAGACAATATATGTGGCATCAAGACATCTGTTATATATTATAAAGTGTTTCTTGGTACGAGAATAAAAACTAAATGAAAACTACGTAAAAGAAGTCCACCATAGATTGTAGGAATAGTAAATGTGTAAAAAATCATTGTAGAACAAGAAGAAGGAACCAGAAAGAGTATCAAAAGAGTGTGAAAAGGAAACGATTAAAAGGTAAGATAACTGTGAGAGAGGACAAAATCTGAAGGAATCATCATCATGTGGCAGTTTTATCAAAGCATACTATACCAAGATGTCATCAAACCATCGAAAGGGGTGAAAATTGACGTGTAACTGCAAGTTCCAAACTCCCCGTATGGGCAGTAGCTATAGGGTTTAATATATTACAACACACATGAAGCACAACATTAACAGTTAAGGTGGGCTTGTTCATTAATAGAGTGGGAAAGAGAAGGGCCATATTGACTGAAGAGTCTAAAACCAAATCTTCTGGTGTGAAATTCACGATGAAGGAAGGAGGTTAACTTGTTAACACTTATGAAGCAAGTGTCGCAGTACACTTCATACTCTCCAATGAATAATGCAACTCAGTGTGAATGATTGAGAACATAACCACAGACTACCTTTGAAAGGATTTAATATTGATAATGAATTTAGGCGGTTGGAGCAATCAGCACCCTATGAGAAGCAAGATACAACACTGGTCAAGTTTAATTGAAGGCAGCAACTTCCTACAAGACTCAATGTGTGAGCTTACAAATTCAGTTTGCTAACCAAAATAACCTCCAAATAGACTATTTCAAAAAAAATATTGATAACAGTAAACCATTCAAGATCAATGATAAAGCTATGCCAAGAAATTGCAGTAATGTAAAGATTGAATAATCTGCCAGATTCATGTAGATTTATACGGATAAAGATTCTATCTTTATCAAGAACCAAAACTCTCATTAACGAAAAAATAAACTCCAAGAGCAAATTCTGGAATTAGAGTGTGATAATTCCCAATTATGATTGATCCCATTCACCTACAAACTCAAAATGAAAGACAAAGTAAGGGAATGTAATAAATCAAAATAATGAAAAACGATACAGTGAATATAGACATTAAGGAAAGAAAGAGAACTGGTACCTCAAGAAACAGTCATTCGTGTGGCTCCTTCAGGTTAATGAAAAAAGCGAAGAAAAAGGGGTTAACGATATATCTTTCCCACCACTCGGGAGTTTCAGACAAGGATCTAAAAAAAGGACAACTTAGAAAAGGAAAAAAGTGTTTTTTATTAAAGACAGCAATGAAGCTAGAAAATGTTTTATAAAGGATGAAATAACAACCATTCATGATGCTTTCCAAATTTTCTTTTTGGTTTAAACAGTTAATAGTTAAGTACCAGTAAAAAACTTGTGATTAACAAATTTAATACTAGAATTGAGAACACACAGAAGCTATTAATTATAAGGTTTGATATTAGAATGTTAAATTCTGTATTTGTAGAGTGGCTTTCATGAAGCTACGTCTTCAGTTTTTGTTTGTTTTGTTTCTTTCTTTTCTGAAATGCTACATACATCCCAAAATTAGTTTTATTAATACCGTAAGACTTTTAACAATGAGTAGCCATATTCAATTTATGAAATCAAGAGAAAGCCTAGTAAAGTATAGAATTTAACCTAATGAGGCAAACAAGCAATATAAAACGGCTTTAGCATCCTCTGTTTGTTTGTTTGTTTTTGAATTTCGTGCAAAGCTACAAGAGGGCTATCTGCGCTAGCCGTCCCTAATTTAGCAGTG